GACCGAAACTGTGCCGCCGTCGTGGAGTCGGGTGGAAAACGCTAGAAAGGAAGGGCAGGAAGTGCGAGGTGCAGTCCCCGGGGTTTGCCAGCTTCCGGCCTTCGGCTAACGATGCTAAAGCTTTTGGTGTTCGCCAAATTGGTGTTGGACGGACTGAGATTCTCGACATTGGGGATTTCTTGTGCTTACGAAGTCCCTTCCCTAATTTGGGAGGCGTTGTCGCCTAGTTAGCTTCAGCTGTCAGCTTGACAGCCCAGCTTCGTCTGAGGGAGTCCCAGTTGGAGGGTGACCTCGATGACCTGACTGGCCTGTGGGCTTGCCCTCGGGGCGTGTTTTCTTGGTTCCTAGTTGATACAGGAGGGCTCAGGCCAGTGTGGGCGCCACCGCCCTGACTCGTGGGTTCCCTCCACCCCTCCCCCCCCAGGCTGTGTGAGAAAGCTAGCTGAGCAGAAGCCAGAGAGAGCAAGACAGTAAACTTCTTCCATGGATTCTGCCTCTGCTCCTGCTTGAAACCCTGCCTCGGTTTCCCCCAGTGCCAGAAGTGTAAGATGAAATAAACCTCTTCCTCTCCAAGATGCTTTTGATCCGAGTATTTTTATCACAGAAACAGAAAGCCCATGTACTGGCCTAAGCCATTGCAATACACTGTGAAAAGTGAACGTGGAGGAAGAGGCAGTGGACCCTCAGAGGTCCACTGGTATCAGGAAAATCCAGACCCTTCTCATGAATGAAAGGACAGGCGGTTACTAATGGAAGGGTCACTAATGGATGGGTCGCAGAGATTTGACAGTTGATTAAGAGAGTTGAGTCCTGACCCTTCTAAGGTAGACTTTTTGGTTTTTTGTTTGTTTGTTTGTTTGTGGTTTTTTGAGACAGGGTTTCTCTGTGGCTTTGGAGCCGGTCCTGGAACTAGCTCTTGTAGACCAGGCTGGCCTTGAACTCACAGAGATCCGCCTGCCTCTGCCTCCCGAGTGCTGGGATTAAAGGCATGCACCACCAACGCCCGGCCAAGGTAGACTTTTTGTAATTGCCAACTTCTAAAGTATTCTTCAGAATGTGGAATGTTGAAATGGCCCTCCAGTGGTGTGACCTCTGTGATCTAAAGAGTGCTGTTCTGTTCTTCCAGAGAAGAGGAGCTTGGAGAAGATGCCCATGTTTACTGGAAAACTGACAAAAATACTATTTATCAGAGTGATGGGGGGAAATCCTTCAATTTTGGTAAGCTTATAACAGCATCAAAAGTTATCATGTGCGGGCTATAGTAGCCTCTATTCCCTGCACTCTGGAGGCAGGAGGATCAGGAGTTCTAAGGCCAGCCGGAACTACAAAATAAGTGCTCTAAACTGAGCCATTTTCCCAGACCCTAGGTTGTCATCTCATTGTTAAAACTAAAATGACAACCTTTTGATCAGAGGAGTGTAGGAAATAAAATGATTCCTGGTAAACAGCCATTTATATTTTTTTGTTTTAAGATAAAACTTTGTTTAAGAGATTATAAAACCAAGATTACAGGTTCCCCAAGAATTCAGATTCTGGTACGAAATAGGCTTTGGTGGCCCAATACACATATAGAAGATTTGAACTCGTTAACTGCCTGGGTTGACAGTATTAAAATACAAATATCTACCAACTTCCATTATCTGAAATTCTGAGTTTAAACAGCCGCTGTATGGTACTTGGTTTTCCCCATTATTTCTGCCTGTAGAACAACTGTTATAATAGAAGCATACCTATTGCTGGGTTTCTTGTTGCCAACACATTTCCCTATTTTAAAAATCTGTTCTCTGTGAACTTTTTTACCATGGAAAAGTGTCACATTTTATTTAGTTTATTAGCAAAAGCAAAGATTCAGATCTTAGAATGGCAAACTTATCATATAAATGCCTAAATTTAGCAGACAGACCATTGACTCCTGTCACATTTTTTTGTTCAGTGTGTTCTTGATTTAGCTTGAGCTAGGCTTTTAGCAAGATAAGTTACAAAGCAAAACTTCTCAAAAATTAATAACTGCTCATATTTCCTAAATACTAATATGTTCACAATAATTCTATAAAGTTGGTAATGTGCCTGTTTAGTAGGTTAGAGGCCAAGGCCCAACACTTAAAAGATCTAATCAGGATTCTACCTATCAGACTCTAGACCCATCTGAGCCACTGTGCTAAGCCGCCTTTGAAAATACATAGGATTGTTGACTTGTATGTTTTTTCTACATGAAAACCAGGGCATTTTCCTTTTGTGAAGGGCATTTTCTGAAAAGAACAAAAAAAATTAAAAATGTCCTAGATATGTCACCATTTTAGAACCTGACAGTTAATTTCTTTGGGTAATTACTAATTCTTTGAAAATGCAGTTGATATGTTTGATTGAATTTCTGTGTTGTTCTTTTTAGATCGTGTGTTTCATAGTAATGAAACCACTAAAAATGTATATGAAGAAATTGCAGTACCAATCATCAATTCTGCCATACAAGGCTACAATGGTTTGTATTCACTTCATGTTGCACAAACATCTTAGGTCTTCCTAAGGTCCATTCCATTGAGTATTGATAGTTTTATTCACTGTGAGTTTGTTTTGAATCTGTGTGTGTATGTATTTATTTACTTATCTGTTTATTTGACTTGTTTTTACAGGTACCATATTTGCTTATGGGCAGACTGCATCAGGAAAAACGCATACTATGATGGGTTCTGAAGACTGTTTGGGAGTTATACCCAGGGCAATTCATGACATTTTCCAAAGGATTAAGAAGGTAACAACCTCAGACTTCCTAGCACACATAGATAAAAGTAGTGGTAACTGAGTGGCAATTGGTGTTTTCCTCTTGAAACAATTTAAGAGAAAGGACATTCACACTCATCTCCTGATTCTCGTGGCAAGAGAAAAGCACAGCATTGATTCACACACTTCATAGAACTCGAAGTTCTCGGATTTATTTTTCCATTGAGTCCCAGAACAGTTTTATTCCCAACAAAAAGTAAAGTAAATTAAACAGTAGGAGATCCTATCAGAACAGTTAGTTCCATATTAGCTTTGTTCAATTATAGTGATTCTTTTGTTTGTTTTTTTATTTGTTTGTTTTGGGGTTTTTTGTTGTTTTTTTGTTTGTTTGTTTGTTTTGGTATTTCAAGACAGGGTTTCTCTGTAGCTTTGGAGCCTGTCCTGGAACTCACAGAGATTCCCCTGTCTCTGTCTGGTGACTGCTGGGATTAAAGGCGTGCACCACCACTACCCAGCAGATTTATTTTTTTGATTATGTATAGTGTTCTGCCTGCATGTATGCCTGCTGGCCAGAAGAGGGCACCAGATCTTATTATATGATGGTTGTGCACCACCTTGTGGTTGCTGGGAATTGAACTGAGGGCCTCTGGAAGACCACTCTGAGCCATCTTTTCAGTTACTAGTGATTCTTAAGGAGCAATAAAAAGTAGCTGTGAGTTCAAGAGAAGGAAGGCATCTGGTGGTATATGCAGGCTGATTGATGTAGGTTAGTTTTAAATGAACATTTGCATGAAAGTCAAAGCACCTATTGTCAGGGCTTTCTTTAATCCTATAAAGAATTTGTTATTTCTGAAATACTGCTTTTGTGGTTTTTTTTTTTTTTTTTTTTTTTAATTGGCATACAGCCATGGATTCTGTTGGCTTCACAGATAATTTTTCTTGGGCTCTTTATCCTCAGTGCATGAATGTATGAAGCCAGCTTATAAATGGGTGCTTTCTGATGCTTCACACATTGTTTCTCTTCTAGTTTCCTGAGAGAGAATTTCTCTTGCGGGTGTCTTACATGGAGATCTACAATGAAACCATTACAGACTTACTCTGTAATGCTCAAAAAACGAAACCTTTGATAATTCGGGAAGACATCAACGTGAGTACAAAAACCAGGTGATATCCCTGGATCAGCACAAGAATGGGCCTGTCGGGGAGAGAGGTGGCATTCAGGGCCCCTACGCACACAGCCCAACTGTTTGCTACAGGGAGAGGAGTCATTGCCTTCACTTGTGAACCTTGCTTAAGCGGATCCAGTTTGCATTCAGTAGCCACATAGATGTCCCTAATTAACTAAATGAGTCACCAAACTAAATACCATGTTGGGAACAGCACTGGTACCAGTGATGGGGGTTGATAGGAATGTGAGGGACCTAAGACAGGGTGGAAGAGTACTCTAGTTATATGTATTAATTAGTCAGATAACAATGGTGTGGATTTGTTTTAGAACTTAATACATTAAGAGGACTAAGGGCATAAAATGTATTTGATGCAGAAAGTTTATACTTTAAAATAGGTTCTGTTCCAATTGCCTGTTTAAGTATATGAAAGTTCTCTCACTGAGTTGCACATATTTTGGGTGGGTCTGGATAATTTTAGTATGTATTTATTTGCAAGATTTTTATGCTGAAGTTTATACAGTAAAAGAAAATTTCATGTGTTCAGTGTGTCCACAGTCAGTTGTGAATAAGTTACTTTTTTCTGCAGAATAATTGTTCCCTTTTTTTTAACCTTCCTAAATTCTACAGTAGATTCTAACTTTGAAAGCAAACGTCGTTTCTCTAATCTTTTCATGATTAAACTGTTTTCAGAGGAATGTGTATGTTGCTGATCTTACAGAAGAAGTGGTTAATACAGCAGAGGTGGCTTTGAAATGGATCACAATGGGAGAAAGTAAGGCTGCTGTATTTTAAAATGCACATCAAAACTACCAAGTCCTGTTTTTTATTGAACTAAAATAGGATAGGCTTCCATTTGACTTGTTACATTGTTACATTGAGCTAAAGTAAAGCCTCTTATCTTTCTTGGGCTTTAAATTAATACACACAATTAACATATAACTCGTTTTTTACAGAGAACAGACATTATGGAATAACCAAAATGAATCAAAGAAGCAGTCGTTCTCATACGATTTTTAGGATGGTGAGTACTTGTGTTTCTCCCTACGTTTGGTCTTTCCAAAGGAGAGTTTACTTGTTTTGACAAGTTGCTTTTTCTGTCTAGATTTTGGAAAGCAGAGAAAAAGGTGAATCTTCTAATTGTGATGGGTCTATCAAGGTGTCGCATTTGGTGAGTGTTTATAAATCATAACTTTCCACATGGGCCCAAAAGACAGGTTATTGGGTGATTGTTTGAATAGGAACAAAGGGTCAGTAGTTGTCAGCATAAGTGATCATGGGAGTAGCCTCAGGTACTAGCTGAGATACTGTGTAATGGTTAGGGAGCACGTCTTTGTTCCTGTGTGTGATGACTGTGGGACTGACTGCAGGAGCTGAGTCTTCTTCCAGCCACCAACAGAGTCAGAGCTTTGTGTCTTGCAGTAACCCATCTTTGGGGGGTTCAGTCGAACCCAGCCAACTAGGCCAATTCGTACCTGAGACATGGGGAGTGTGGATTGAGGAAATGGCAGATAAAGATACTAAGGAAAAGATAGAGATACACAATAGAGTCAGGAGGGCAGTCTAGTGAATTCTGAATGCCCAAGTTTATTCTTCAACATTCTTATATACCCCAACCAAAACGGGAAAAATGTCAAAAGATTTCTTTATCATGATACAAGGAACAAATAGACTTTCTTCCTTAGTTCTCCAAACATTTAGTAACCATACCTTAGACTAAATCACTTGTTATTTAGATAAGACATCCATACCTTAGACCTTTAGGTCTTATGACTTCAACCATGGAAGAGTAAGGATAGTTTTGTATTCTCTGACCTTAAGCCAAGATGAAGCAAAGCCATTTTTATGGGGCCCTGCAGTGTCTCTTGCCTGAGAGTTGAATCTTGGAATTTGGATATGTTTGTTTGTTTTAAATCATAGCCAGTGTAACTTAAAAGTTTAGGATAAACCAAAACAAGACAACAACAAAGAAAACTGGTAAAATGGTTAAAACATCAATTTTTTTTTTTGTAATCATGAGAAAGCATGTTTGTTTTGCTCTACCGACAAGCCTTAGGGCCTTGTGTATGCTAGGCAATGTTTTCCCACTGAACACCCCCACACACACACACCTTGTGGCCCATGAACAGGAGTTGAGACTGTAAGTCTCTTAAACAGAAGAGGAATATCTTTAGTACCAGCATGCTGCACGGTCTGTGCTTATACACATTTGCTGAATATGAGCATTATGCAAACACTGCTCTTACCATTAAGTAATCCTCCCATTTACTTCCTTTTTTATTATCAGATATCGCCAGGATGGCCTTAAAATCATAACTCTGCCTCACCCTAGGCAGGCACTTCCAAGCTCTGATAAAGCAAATGTTAACATCTAGTCCAAATCTCTCTTATTTTGCTGAAAACCTGTGTGATTTGTTTTAATAGATTTTAATATCTTAATTTAGAACAAATCCCTCTATCTAACCTGTGTTTTGTTTTCCAAGTCTGATTGTGATATTTCAGTATAATTTTAACATTCTCTTCATTTTAATTATCTCTTTTTTTTTCTTTTCTTTCTTTTTTTTTTTTTTTTTTTTTTTTTTTTTTTTTTTTTTTTTGTTTGTTTGTTTTTCAAGACAGGGTTTCTCTGTGGCTTTGGAGCCTGTCCTAGAACTAGTTCTTATAGACCAGGCTGGTCTTGAACTCACAGAGATCCACCTACCTCTGCCTCCCGAGTGTTGAGATTAAAGGCGTGTGCCACCAACGCCCGGCATTTTAATACTCTTAACTTGTTTATTTTGTTCATTCCTTTGCTGATTTGTTGTATGTGGGTCTTAGGATACTACCTGGGCCAGCCTGCCAGCTTGTCTGCCTCCTGTAAAACTTTTCTGGAAGAGAAGTGTTCCCTTTGAAGTCATCTTCTGGCTCTTTGGGTGGCTGATTTCTGCCTGTCACCTGGCCTTGAGGGAACGTTATTGTCAGGCCTCCCTCAGCTCGCCTTGTCTGTATTGTCTTTTCTCTTACCCTCCTGCTGTTGCTCCAGCACCTGATACACTGCCCACTGAGTAATAGATACTCACCCCCCCCATGTTATTTATAAAATGAAAGAGATGCCAGTGCTTTTAAAGATGCAACAGTGCAGTGTGGTACACACATGGCCAGCCCACCAAGTAAGTGCTGTGTCAGTACGTCTGACCTCTAAGAGCTTGGGTGTACAGTTGAGGATGCATTCATTGTGGGTGTTCAAGAAGGGTGACAGTGGCAGAGCTCTACTGAGAAGACTGCTGGCCTTGGTTCTTGAATACAGAGTAAGGATGGACTAAAGCATTAGAAATAAAGAGAGCAGCCAAAGCCACAGCAGAGGCCCAAACAGTCGGCCGGGAGACAAGAATTCAAGGGATATTCCAATATATCATGTCTTTAAGCTATTTCTTCACCAAGTTCTAGTGATACCGCCTAAACACATATTTTCATCTGTCTTACAGAATTTGGTAGACCTTGCAGGCAGTGAAAGAGCTGCTCAAACAGGAGCTGAAGGTAATGAGAACTTTATAATGACTGACCATTTATGTTAAAATTGCTGATAATGGAATGATTCCCAGATGAAAGTCTTTATTATAAAATCAAATTTAATTGCTTTGACCTACTACAGCACCAACTTAAAAATTCAGGTTTGTAGTTGATAGGGCTATGTAGCTGGGAAGCCCAGGAATGTACTATAAAAATATCTAAGCTGGGTAATTAAATAGAAAATTAAGAAAGGTAGTAGGAGACATCCTTCTAGGACTAATGTACTGGTTCTATACTTTACTGTTTCCCTTGACACCGTATTAAAGAAAGCCTTCCCTCCATTAACAAACACAGTGGCCATGACTAGTGCTGAGAAGAAAAAGGACAATAATCAAAATCATTCCAAGATTTGTCTTAGTGTCTGTACTGTAGAACTCTCAAATGTGGCTATACAGGAGGAGTTGAGGCCAGATTTAACTGGAAACTTGTAATTTTTCATGACAAGTTTAACCATTTGATTTTTCTCATTCTCCTTATATGAGTAATAAAATATAAGAAATCCAAATAAAAGGTAGTAGGGCTCAAATAAATTGATAAAGATAACTCTTATAAGCAAAAAAAAAAGTTTGAAAATATTAGTGAACAAAAAAAAAAGACAAGACCAATAAAATGTGGTATCTAGGAAGATACTCAAAGGTTGCATAAAACTAATGTAAAGTCCTTAAAGCTCAAAGGTTGTAAAGACTTAAAATAATGAAAAGGTACACTTAAATGTGAAGATTCTAAATTATAAAGATGTCAAGCATACATTCTTAATAAAATCAAAAGTACAATTTTTCGTGTTTAAATCATTGTACATACAGTGATTTAAAAATGTGTATGGAAAATTGAAAACAGACAAGACTATCTGAGAAATCTGAGGAGGACAGTGAATGGAAATTCAGCCCCACGGGGCTACCATAATTAAACATGGGTCATATTGAATGAATTGTCAGCCTACTAGACCAGAATTGGAAGTCTAGGAGCTAGAGGTCCAACCTGTAATCCCTAGGACTCTGGGAGGATGAGCCGGGAGGACGGTAAGTTCAAGACTAGCTTGGGAGCCATAGGGAGAGCCTGTAAGTGTTAAGTCAGTCTACAGTGGGAAAGACTGTGTTTGTCTACTACACAAAGTCTGGAAACTGAAGAGAAAGACTGATAACCAATAGACTCTGATGGAAAGGTATAAATGGGGCATTTATAAGGCATGGCTTACTGGTGCTGGCACTTCTAACAAGTAAAGCTTCTGACTGAAGAAGGAGAATGGAAGAGGCACAGCTCACCCCATGGCCTAACTGGAGCCACCCGGCAGACTAGTCTGTATGCACCAAACCAGTGTAAAACCAGTGTGCCCTCAGGCGTGAACAGAAAGAAATGCGGCTGCCTTTAAGCCGATTGGTTGGGCAGCAATATTTGCTGGTAACTAGTAGAGCAGAAATGACATTGGTTCAAAATTACTTGTCACAGAATTTTTTGTAAGAGCAGAAGGTTGGACATATGTCTTTCAGTAGGACAATTAAAGTGGGATAAAAACACAATGGAACTCTGTGATATAAAATGAAGAAGGTCACTCTTTACCCAGAGGGAATTTATTTTCTTAAATACATTTTCAAAGGAAAAGGCAAAATACAAAGTAATATGTAAACCAAATGGTGGTGCTCACATTTAATCCCAGCACTCAAGAGGCAGAGGCAGGTGGATCTCTGTGAGCTTGATGCCAGCCTGGTCTACCAAGCGAGTTACAGGGATACATAGAGAGACCCCGTCTGCAAAACAAAGTAGTATACAGTCTGGATATACGTGGGTGTAGTCTTTCAAGTCTCAGGAAAAGCAAAGGAGCTATGATAGTGGTTTTCTGGTGAGGAACAGAGCTGTCTGAGTAGGGGAAAGAGGGCCTGGGCTTTTTCAAGATTTGCACTTTAACTTTTTGAATTATGGAAACATATTAGCAGTTTAAAAATGAAATCTACTGACATTTAGTTGGAAGTCCATGATCACTTTTATTTAAAGGTTAATAATAAAAAGATTTCACTGAGAAGTTAGAGGACCATAGTCACTTTTTCCTGGGGGTGTTTTCTCTCAGGTGGTGCCATTTCTGCTTGACTTCATAGGTAGGCAGACTAAAAAGAACTCTTGTATTGTAAGTGAGCTCAGGTTGGACCACAGCCTAGATTTTAGCATCCGACCCTTTCAGTCTAAATTACAACTTAGAAGCGAGTGCTTTATCTAGTGCAATGGTTAACTTTTACATTTGTTTACCTCAGGTGTGCGACTCAAGGAAGGCTGTAATATAAATCGGAGTTTATTTATTTTGGGACAAGTGATTAAGAAACTTAGTGATGAACAGTTTGGGTAAGTTATTTCTTATGTTTTTTTATTATATGGGAAATTGTAATACTTTAATCATGATCAAGTATATTGATTTCCTCTACACTGTTAGAAAGGTTTTGGATTTCTGTGAGCTGGCTTTTTTTAAGCATGCGTGTTTATCAGAGGTGTGATAATTGGACATATTTACAGAAATGTACAGTGTCACATTTCAGTACATATGTGGCATGCAAGGTAATGAATGCTTCTTCACCTAAGACTCTGTGATGTTCTGGTTGTACAGCCTGGCAATTGTATTTGCTCCTAATAGTGCAGGAGCCCAAGGTGATTGCCTGCTACCTCTCTAATACCCTCCCCAAGGACCTTCCGTGGCTGACACAGTGCATACTGCAGGTGTTAGAGCCTTCAGCATTGATCTGCCAACTCTACGCCATCTATGTCTGAGCTATTTGCCTGGAGAACTCTTTTCTTAAATTTTTGTTCTATTTTTTGATTTTGCAAACTCAACTGATCGTCAGAGGACAGCTCTTAGGAATCATGTCTCTCCTGTCACCTTGTAGAACCCAAGTCTGATTTAGGTCTTCAGACCTCTGCGCAAGTGCCTCTACCCACTGAGCCATCTTGCCAGCCTGAAGAGTCCTTTTTCTTTTTTGTTTGTTTGTTTGTTTGTTTGTTTGAGACAGGATTCCTCTGTGTAACAGCTCTAGCTGTCCGGAACTCTATTTGTAGATCAGACTGGCCTGGAACTCACAGATCTACCTGCTGGGATTAAAGGCGTGTGCCACCATACTCAGCTTTAATTTTTTTGTTTTTTATTAGCATATGTTAACTGTACATAATAATGTGCTTCATTCATTGTGACATTTTAATATATGCATAATTTATGAGCATAGCTTCTTTTTTTTTTGGTTTTTCGAGACCAGGTTTCTCTGTGGCTTTGGAGACTGTCCTGGAACCAGCTCTTGTAGACCAAGCTGGTCTCGAACTCACAGAGATCCACCTGCCTCTACCTCCCGTGTGCTGGGATTAAAGGCGTGCGCCATCAATGCCCGGCTAGAGCATAGCTTCTTATACATGTAACTAACTACTGAGTTTATTTCTTACCTTAAGTATTCTTAATTAGCAGTTTAATCTGCCTTATACAACCTGTAAAAACTTAATTTATAAAATTATGGCTAAGTGTTCATTTTCTTCAAGGAAAACATTTTTATATGTACATTCTCAACCTTTTTCTTCCCATGCTTGTTTCTTAAGTGGTTTCATAAATTACCGAGATAGCAAATTAACTCGAATTCTTCAGAATTCCTTGGGAGGAAATGCAAAAACTCGTATCATCTGCACAATTACTCCAGTGTCATTCGATGAGACCCTAACCACTCTCCAGGTGAGTTTAGTTTTCATCTCATTTCACTGTAGGGAATGGTTACCTGGCAAAATGGTAAGTCATTTTTCTCCCATTGACATAGCCCTGTTATAAAATTGATGTACAGTCTAGCAAATATCATTCTTAACTTACTTTAATTCCTTTATTTAATTCCTAGACTTTGATGTTTGCATCCCATCTCTATAATTTTGGGAACACCCAATACTTTTAAGTGAAGCGATTTATTATTTTCTTTAAATAACTCATCCCCCCCCCACCATTGATACATAGTAACTAAAAGCTTTATGTTAGATTCATAAATGAAAAACTAGTGTTGCTTGGGACAAATAGTAATATAAAAACATATAATGTGTGTGACCAAACATCTAGTGAATTTCTGCTAATGGTTAGCTGTGTAAGAGTTGCAGGCCTGCATTTTCTATTTAAAAAGAAAGGAAATGAAAAGGAAAAATGGAAAACAAGTTAATATCGCAACTTTCTCGGTGAGGAGTCTCGTGTTGTTAATTGTTACCTTCAGCAATGGTTAGCATGTGGCAGGGGTTGGGGTTATATCTCTGGTAGAATGCTTACAGAGCA